CAAGCTGGCAGAGGGGAGATTCAGACTAGACATCAGAAGGCGCGACTTCATGGTCAGGGCGGCTAGGATCTGGAACCAACTTCCAAGAGAAGCAGTGCTGGCTCCTACCCTGGGGGTCTGTAAGAGGAGGCTAGATGTACATCTTGCTGAGGTCGTTTGACCCCAGTACTCTTTCCTGCCATGGCAGGGGGTCGGACTCGATGATATGCTCAGGTCCCTTCCGACTCTAGAAACTATGAAACTATAGTGTTAATGTAGGCTCTAAAGCAGCATCTATGCACAGCCATGGTGGTTTGTAAATCCATAAAGGAAGCCCATGAGAGTACAGAAAAATGCCCCAATGCAGAAGTCACCCTTGTATTGGCCTCCTGTGTTGGCTGTGTGCCTCCTTGCACTCTATGTCCTGGATGCAAGAGGTCTGGATAGCAGTGGTGCCCGTGTAATTTAAACTCTGTGATTTCCACCGGAGACTGCTGTGACCTTCCTGATTTAGCTCCAGATCCAGACATCAGAAAGGTGGCTTCACATGACCTTTGCCACCTTGCCTTCCCCCGCAGTCGTCTGTTCCAGAATGACTTGTAGCAATGCTCCAACCCTTCAACATAAAGCTGCTTTGCCTCTGTGAATGAGAAATCAGCCCTCCAATGGCCACTTACAACCTTGGGCCACTTCTGGTGGGAAGCAGTAGAAATCCTTGAGTTTGCTGACTTGCACCAGCTGAATATTAGTATAGAGGGACCAACTTAACTTGATCTTGGGGATGCCTGCATTTAGGCAGGTTAACCCTGAAAATACAGGTGCTCCAGCCTCAGAGGGTGCTAGAATTTGACTAGGTTGATCACTAGGCAGTCGAGAGAGAAACGTATGCACCTTTACAGAGTTGGACCTCCACAGTTTGACTGAGTTTAGATTTCCCAGCTATTTTATACAGAGAATGGGCTGTGGTTGGCTTCTTTGAAGGGCACTTCAGCACATGGAGAGGCTGTAATAGGAGTTATTAAGCATGGGGCTATGTTCCCTCCCAGAAGCTCGGCACCTGCATTCACTTACTGATCTGCTCTACTTAGTCTCATTATTGAGGGCAGCTGCATCAGCGATAGGGGTGGTGACACAGACCCCACCAACTTTTGCCCCATCGCCTTGTGCTTGGAGCGCTCGCTCGGACGTGAGAGCTCTGGATTATAAAGCCTCCCTAATCTGAAGGGATGCAGACATACATCTTGCACTTCTCAGGTAGTTTGAGCTGAACCCAATGCTGTCAACGTGAGAGTGGCGTGCTCAGAGCAGACCCAATGGACTAGGTCTCCCTGTGGTCTGAGATGTCTTCCACAACACAGTTTTGCGTGATCCCTGAGGGATCGAAAGGGACTGCTTCTGAACATACCTAGAAGCCAAAGAGTAGGTGCCTAGGGAACTCTGTAGTGTGAAATAGGGGTGCCCACCTAAGTTTAAAGAGAAATGTACTGGTGGAAGAGGGCCCAACTAGATCACCCTTTGGAGGTTAGACATCTACATTGTTCCTAAATCCCTTCTACGTGCCTCCCAGAGATTCTAGGATCCGAGCTTCCTGCTTACCCTCATATCCTAGTGAAATGCTAGCCCCAGACATGATATCCCCTCTGCCTAAATTCACTATGTGGTTTCAGTAGCTAGTTTCTGAATCTCTGAATCTCTTTGTGAAGTTGTCCTCCTCATCTTGCACAGCAGGAATATAATTATATCTGTAAGAGAGGGCCTAATACTCAGCTAGTGTAAACTGCCATAGCTCCATCAACTTTCCAGAAGCTATATGGTTTGTACAAGTTGAGAATTGTTTTCTTAAACCCCTAAAGCCAAGCAAAGCAGCGTGATCTTGTGCACACAGGGTCTCCTAGTGCAGTCCATGATGCTTTGCTATTTTTCTCTATATAAGATGTGCCTCATGGCAAATTAGTCCACCGAGTGAGCTGTACATTTGAGAACCACACTGGAGTGAAAATTCACCCTGTCAGACCTTCCCCGGTTAGACTCACCAGCCGGTGTAAAATGATGTAGCTTCATTGACTTTGATACACCAGCTGCAGATCTGGCTGATTGACGGAAATATACTGGGGATGAATCCAGCTCAGTCATTATACCTTTCATTCTTCCAGTGGATGCCTAGTATAAATAGCATCACAGACTATTAACGCTTAAAGTAGCTTTTCCATTTGTGCTACGATTTAACTGTTCTGTTTCTTCAGGGATTTATTGTTGCTGTTTTGTACTGCTTCCTTAATCAAGAGGTAAGGCAACTATATTATTTTTTCATTATGGGGTTCATTTAAAAGATTTATAGAGTTAATATTTTGTTGCAAACCAGCAAGTGATCAAATTCTCTAGTTTGCTAAAATTGCCCATTGATACAGCCCTATTACAATTTCCCATGGGTTATCATCATGAGAATGAAGCCATCTAGTGGGCAAAATGGTTGCTGCTGCTTTGCTCTTATCAAACCCTGTTACCATCTCTGTATTATTGTAACACCTGGGAGCCCCAGTCCTGGTCCAGGATACCGTTGCATTTCGAGCTGTCCAACCAGGACAAAAAGATGCAACCTGATCCAAAGGGCCAATAGATTTTTATTAAATAGCATCAGCAATACGTTTTTCTCTGAGAGGCTTTAATTTGTTTTTTTAATAGAATGATAGTTTGCTGGGACCTTTAGTGTCACCTAGTCCGAGACTGATGCAGTATGCAGCAGTCCTAAACACATGCCTTTCCAGCCTCTTTTTGCAAACTTTGAACTGGGGAACAGTTGGGTAGGCTGTAGTGCTGCAGAAAAGGACCCAGGGGTTGTAGAGCAAGACTGTCAAAGATCTGGCCAGTGGCCCAAATCCAGTCCATACAGCGCCATCATCTGGCCCCTGGTGCTGCCCCTGGTTTTTGATTTGACCCACATGCCACACGCAGTGTGAACAGGATGTGCATTGCACATGCGCCTGCTCCAGCTGACCAGGGACATGCACTGCACACAGTGCTACCCCCACACTCGGTCAATTTGAGGTCAGTGCCATATGCAGTAGGGATCCTGGACCAGTCCTGCATGGATGCTGCATCCGGTGTGGTCCTAGACTGGCCAGAGTGAGCACTGTGTGTGCTGGGTATGGCATGCAGGGGAGGGGAGGGGGTCCACTGGCCCGATCCAGCCCATGGGGTTGGCCACATGCCCTACACCTTGTAGGCCAAATGAGTTTGACACCTCTGTTATAGAGGACTGTAAGCTGAACATAAGTCTACAGTGTAAAATGGTTGCAAAACATTTAAAAACCCAAATAGCATATTTAATAGATTAACAGGAGTGTTGCATGGTTCTTCTATTTTATTCAGCAATGGTGAGGCCAACTTTGGGCACTGCGCTTCAAGAAAGATGTGGACAAATTGGAATGAGTACAGAGGAGAGCAACAGAAATAATCACAGGCCTTGTAAACATGATAAGAAAAAGATTTTTCCTGACTGAGTCATTCTTTTAATTATTTCCCAACTTCTAACAGACTTCCTAAAATGTGGACCATTTACTGGACAGTAATAGGTTGTTTCGAGCTCTCATAGTCATGATGCAAGAAAAACGCCCATTCTGTGGGCATGGGTGATGGAAAAAAAAATAAGCAAGAGCAATTTATACAAATGTTTAGATCCATGCACCAGGACAGGCTTTGCATATTATACAATAGGAACATCTGAACTGGCACACCGTGGCAGAAGTAGGTGTGGGCTAAATGAACCATTATCATTCCTGGTCATGAGAAGGTCAGTGGAAGACACTGCATTGAGATTGGTGTGTTTTATTTAACAAGTGGATTTAAATTGTTTTAGTTAAATAACTGTTGGAGGTAAGATGCAACATGACCAAGAAATCTCAGAGTATTGTCAGCAGCCTCAGTTTCCACAGAGTTTATTTGTGCTAGGCAGGCCTTTCTTGGCTTGCTTGGGTGTTGTGCTACTGCCACTTCATGATCAATAGTGGTAGCAACAGTAGTATTTAAAAGCCAGTCTAGAGTGCAGGCATTTTAACCGTGGTCTGTTCTGTAGCAGGGAAGAGCATGCTGAGAGGGGCAGGAAGCCTCATGGATACAGCACGGTACTGGGTTCTGTTCCCCACTGCCACTATCCTGGTGGCTATTGACTTTGAGTGAGTCACTACACCTGTTTGGGCCTTAGTTTCCCTACAAGTCAAATGGAGATAATGATAATGACTTCCCTTGTAAAGGTTTATTTGAGACCTGATGATGAACAGCTCTATATGAGTGCTAGGCATTACTATTGCAACATGACACAGTTGTCAAAATGCCAGCAACCCATCTACATTAGAGTCCCACTGTGCCTACCATTAATGCAAAATCAAGAGTGAGAAGGTTTAAGGACATATTTAGTGTAAACACAGCTATAATTACTACTCTGTGCCACCTGCACTAACAGGGTGACTGTTCCTTTTTCATGGATGGGCCACAGTTGTTTGTAACCACATTGCTGTCTTTAAGCAATGATCAGTGTTTATTATTTCATGTGATCATCTCATCATATGATTATTATTTGTTGGTAGCTCCAGGAAGCAATGCATCACTTGTGGACTAAGACTTGCCCTAGGGGATCCCTTCAGATATGAGAACCGTGCAATTTACTTGCTGATTAGACACTGTGAAGCGTAATGTGCAGAAACAAAACCAACTGTGCAAGCAAATGGGTATACTATCAGTTTATTATCAGCAATGAAGTCTACTGGAATGGCATGGAGATGGGAGATAGAATTGCTGAATTGTGACCTAGGCTTTCTCTGCCTGTCCATGGATGTATTACTCTATAATATTTTCAAGAAGTTTCAGTACTGATTGAAGCGCTCTTGTGCAAGGCGCTATACAACAGATATAGAGATGTCCTAAGAGCTTTGACTCATGTGGCCATGGGCAGAGCTAGAATATTGAAAGGGCAATGCAGATGGTGAGGTGCATCATCGCATATTAACACATTTTTCTCCAGTTAAAAGTAAATCAGAAGCTTTACTAATACACTAGAGCTCTAGGGCTGTATTATGCAGTCTAAGATTAAAGCAAATATGAATATAATTTCATTCCAATGAGTTAAAAACAATCTGCAGGGCTGTGGCATAGGAGCTTCATTACCAGGAGCAGCTAGCAGACAGCAGAAGCGCAGAACAAAGGATAGTTTGATTGGTGGAACATCGAGACCATTAAAAAGATGACAGTTGCTAAGACTTGAGGAATGAAGAGTTACAAGGGATCAGGTAGATTATAATGAGCCATGACGTCAAGTGGCTCCCTCAGCACTGCCTGGCTAGAAATGCTGCTGCCACAGTTAGGCAGGAATCAAAGCGGGGCAGGAATCAAAGTGGGATGCAAGTGCACTAGTGCATCTCCTCTGGTTTGGCCTCTGCGTGTGGCTGCCTTTTTTCACATTGACCTGCTCTGTAACGTTAGGGCAAGTCATTTCACTTCATGGCGCTTCAGTTTTTCATCAGTAGCATGAAGACACTGCTCTTTGACTTACCTAATTCACTGGATTGTAAGAATGCTGTGGTGCTTCCCTGCGTTGTATGTTAATTATTATTTCTACCAAAGGTATCACGATAATTCTCTCCACTGTCCAATCTCTCCTGAAATCCCACTTCTCTTGTGACACCTCCTGCCGTGCATTCCTGGTGCGGTGGGCACACTAAGTATTGGTGAGCCGTACGTTCTCAAATCACCCAGTGTACTGCAGGCTATAGTTCCCTCCCATTTACATGGGACCAAATACTGTCTCTTGCTTCTAAAATGCAACCCAGAATAAAGCCATGATCTATAATGGCAGGCTCTGCATTTACATCAGTATCACCGATATTTTTGGCGTTCAGTTGTCATTGGTTAAAATGCATAAGCAGTCCTGGTAGCAGAGGCCAGAGCCCTGGCCTCCCTCTTTGCCAGGACAGTTCACCTTCTTCCTGGACCACAGAGTTAGGCTTTTTTTCTAATGGAGTAAAAAAAAATGATGACAATGGATTGCTAATAGTATTTTTTTTTTTAATTTACTTTTGAGGTGCAAGCAGAAATTGGCCGTCGATGGCAAGGCAAGAGCTATGGAATAATGCCAGTGTGGAGGAGGAGGACTAGGTGGACCATGCCATCCAGTTCTGGCATCAAAATGACTACCTCTGTGTGCTAGGGACAACAGCTGGGCTTGGACCAGTGGCACTGAAGACCCTGGTGTTAATCTAGGATAAGGAACAGGTGATTGTAAGAGGGAAAATCTACTGCTGGTCATTTTAAACTGCTTGAGTGAATGAATTAGAGTCCATTTCTCCTGCAATTCCACTCCCCGAACCTGTAGGGCAAAGAAACGGGAAATACGGTAGCATCAGATCAAATGCTAGTTGGCTGGACACTTGATCAGCTTTCATGGGCAGCCTGTGCAAAATGACGCTATTGAAGTGTCTGATCTGGAGGGTAGTACCCATGCTTCAAACTGGATTCATACTAGTGAGCTGGACTCTTGCCTCTGGTTTTGAATCCCTGATCTAGTACGCAAGGAGCAAACCACAGCTTAAATCCACAGCATTGTCTATGCAACTCCCATTTTGGGTCCACAAGGAAGTCAGGAGATTCAGAGATAAGACCGCAACACTCCCATCTGAATTTTGGATATTGAGCTGAACCTTTTTCTCAAACCCGCCGGTGATGTTCAGAGCCTATTCTGATAGCCTACGAGTTGAAATTCCTCGAGAATTAAGTGGGAGGAAATGGAATGACTGGGAAAGAGAAAACTCCATTTGAGGGTCTTTTTGGATGCACTGAGCTAGAGCAGCTAAAACATGGAAGGAAACTGATGAAGCTGCTCACTAGAGAAAGACCAATTGGAGAGGTGCTTTATGGATGCAATTTAATTTTAGGGAAAAGGAAATGGAAATAGAAGGAACCAATGTGTGAAAAAATGTGAATAAGAGCAGCAGAAGAAAATCAAGCTGATCACAACGTAAACCTTTTGATGAAAATAGAAAAAAACAACCACCCACTTTTTAAAAAACTCATTTTCTTTTTGGGTCTAAAACAAAAGTTTGACTTGTTTTCCCTCCTGTTAAAAACAAAAGAATTAAATCAAAGGTTGAAATTATTGAAGTAAAATGTAATGTTAAATCAAAGGTTGAAATTATTGAAGTAAAGTGTAGTGTTTTTTTAGAAATTGCTGGGTTTATGGCAAAGGCATTTTCCATCAAAAGAATGCTCCTCTTCCCCCCCACTCCCCCCAAAAGGAAACTTTTCAGTGTCTCTACAAAAGTGTAAAGGGATGACTAATATCTAAGACCATAAGAAGTGCCATACTGGGTCACACCGATGGTCCAGCTAGCCAGTATCCTGCCTTAGAGAGTGGTAGAAGTGGGTGCTATAGAGAGATGGCACTGAACAAGATATCTCTAGAGTGATCGATCCCCTTTTCTGTACCTTCACTGGCATCCACCATTATTGGGATACTCTTGCTGTATTTTCCTATTTTTCTTGGTTTTGGGTCTCCCACAGCATCCCTTGTGGCACGATAGGGCCGTGGTCTCATCCAGTTTCCTGTCCTCAGCCTCCAGCTCATCAGCGGTATAGGTTCAGGTGGGGTACTCAGCTCTCTGAGTTCCCATAAGTATCTACCAATTCTGGAGCAATGGGAGTTCCCATGAGAATTAAAAATTTTTTAAAGAAGTAAGAAAGTAATTGAAGGCAACAGGCCTCTCTTTCTTTAAATGGCCTTTGGTCAGCTTTAGTCTCTACTTCAGCCTTCTTGAACAAGTCATTCATAAAGCTTACACTAACATTTTGGGGTCTGACCCACCTTTCCCTCAGAGGGATCAAACAACTGGTGGTCATGGGAGCAGTCCATGCTCTCTGCCCAGCCCTGTCTCCAGGACCTGGCATTTGAAGGCCTGTTCTGCCCCTGGAGTTCCTGCCAGCTGAGCTGTATGTCCCACTTTCAGATCCTTCTTCCAGGCCTCACAAGCCTTGCAGTTGTGGCAGGGCTCAGGACCACAGTGTTTCATTACACCTGGCCTAGCCCACATGGGGTTTGCACACCCTTTCACACCACCCAGTTATCACATACAATTAATAGCAGACTTTTACATTTTGATGTCTGCACTAAGATGAACATCTCTCTTTACAACTGTCTGCTGCCCTGTTCTAGTGCCCTCAAGTACTTTAAAAAAGAGGGCAAACCAGAAATATGGGGCTAAGCCTCTGTGGCTGAAGGACCAGGTAACTATTAAGACCATTGCTAAATACTTTTCAAAATGCCTATGATTGTTTTTTGCTCTCTGTTGCTGTAAAACTAATTGAAAAGTCTGGAAATAAAAGAGCATTCCCAGTCTGCCTCTCCATTGATTTCCCCCCCCCC